TGCTAAAATTCCACAGAAGTTAATCAGAAATATTGTGGCAGTTAACTTAAATCTCCTCTTCTCTGGGGAAAGTAAATTGGTCTCATTCCTATTCCATGCAGGTAATAATTTCCTATTTTGAATTTGAATATGTGACAGAAAAATAGTGTTTGTTATTTTTAATATTCTGCTGTCTTCTACAAAAGGTTGATCCTGGTAACTGGAAGAGTTTCTGCTTGCTAAACATGAGTTCTTCCACATTTGTCTAGTAGCCTCTTAGCTCTCTACTCCTCGACGTCTGAAGGATGAGCAGTACAGACCGACAAAACATCTTATTCATGGGTCATCTTAGATCGTATTCCCTAGAACGTAGCCTGAGATGGGGATTCTTGTGCCAGTGATTTATTGAGGACACTCTCAGCAGAAGGCAATCAAGTTGAGGTGTCAGAGAGGGGTTGGGGGAGCAGTGTGGAGAGAAGCTAAGCAAGGACCTGGTCTCAAGTGGTTACTAGCTTCACCCTGATCCCACCCACGTGGCGTTATGGGGCTGAAATTTCACCCACACACTTGGTCCTGCCTGGAGAGAAGGGAGCCAAGTTTTTATATCCCTGTATCAGTCACTCATTAACTGTGGGCTACTAGTGGCCAGGCCAGGGTGAGAGTCTGACATCCTGGGCTAACAGTACTTCCTGGTGCCTGAGAGCAGCACTTTAAAGGAGGAGGCGGCTGTGAGGCATTAGCGCGCAACCCTGTCAGCAGCTGCGGGATGGACGAACCCAGGTGAAAGGCATCTGGATGGGGCACCACCAGCATCTACTACATGGATGTAATTTTAGGTTTCTGTTTATATCTCTGGATATCAGTGTCCACTTCTGCCTAAGGTATGAATTTTCCTCTCTATCCCTTGGCCTTATAGAGCCATAGCCCTGGACCAGCCAGCTTCCCGTTCCCCATTCAGCCTATGGGTAAATCAAATCAAGCAGCTATATGTGTAGGATCCCAGATCATTTGCAGAGGGGCATTGAACACGTGAATTATTCCTCCTTATTGAATATATTTCTATACTAGGAACATTGTTGTTATTTCCTAGTTTTTTCTTTTGTGAAATGAAGGGATAGACTGGATTTTTAAAAACCCTGTTCCAGGGCCGGGCGCGGTGGCTCAAGCCTGTAATCCCAGCACTTTGGGAGGCCAAGACGGGCGGATCACGAGGTCAGGAGATCGAGACCATCCTGGCTAACACGGTGAAACCCCGTCTCTACCAAAAAATACAAAAAACTAGCCGGGCGAGGTGGCGGGCGCCTGTAGTCCCAGCTACACAGGAGGCTGAGGCAGGAGAATGGCGTAAACCCGGGAGGCGGAGCTTGCAGTGAGCTGAGATCCGGCCACTGCACTCCAGCCCGGGCGACAGAGCGAGACTCCGTCTCAAAAAAAAACCCAAACTTAACCAAAAAACAACCCTGTTCCAGTTTTAAAATTCATTTGCCTAATAATTTTGCTCCAGAACGCAGTTGTGCTTGCATTTTCTCTGGGGATGAGTTTCACAAAAGTGTGTATTAGAGACTAAGTCTACTGTCATGGACGTAAGTGAGGCACTAATAAGACTGTGAAATGTTTTAGCACCTGCCAGGGAATTCAATTGCATTTGATCTGACCATGATTCTTTTATCAATAATTGATATTAATTTTTCTGAATAATTGTTAGGGAAGAATTTCTTTAAAATATTAAAGAACTACAGGGTTGATTCTCAAATACTTGTTTCAATGATTCGTGTCATATGTTTGCCACACAAAATGGACAGACGCTATCATTTTCACTATGGGGTCTTAAGGAACCTAGCAGAAACTGAGGCAAGACACCAGAACTATCACTGCATTGTATGTGTCTCATTGCCCTCAAGTACAAGGTGATACTGAAAAAATTCCTGATATAAGTTGTTGATGGCAGGGTCTCCCCTACTAGACACTGATCCTTTGTATGATTTAAAACAAAACATCTATTCGGGTATATGAAATACTAAAAAGTGCCCCCTCTCCATGGACAACATACAAAAAAGGCGTTCCTTCCTCCTGGCTACAAGGCCTGTCAGGAGACACAAGACTTGGTAACTGAAGTGCAGACTGGGTCTCAACCTTTATTCATTTCTTTCACCTGAGACTTTTACACAACCCACAACTTGCAAGGCAGTATGTGGCATTCTTGGTTATAGGAGTCTGATCATTGTGACTTGAGTGGTTTTCTGTTATTTAATATGACCCTTTATATTTGTCAAAGGATATCAATCCTACAAGATTGCCGAGTGGCACCATGTCTCAGATTTGCCTCAATCATCTCTATATAAGACATCAGTAAGAGCTTCCAAGACGAAAAGGCTCAAAAGGAATGTGTTCTGAATACTTTCTTCATATGTAGTGCTCACTCATCTTTATCGCATGAGAAGACTTGCTATGGAATTTTGGCACTGGACCGAGGGGGTTCTGACATTTCAACTGAGGTTCTAGGGTCACTTGTATAGGAGATCTACAGTGACATTGCCATGCTGATTCTCTATGCAGATCTTTCTACCCAGGGACACTACCAAAGTCAAGTAATTAGCACAATCTCCAGATAGAAATATCTGATATTGAGGCTGGTTATGGTGACCCACGCCTGTAATCCCAAGCACTTTGGGAGGTCGAGGTGAGTGGATCACTTGAGCTCAGGAGTTTGAGACCAGCCTGGCTAACATGGTGAAACCCTGTCTCTACTAAAAATACAAAAATTAGCTGGTCGTGGTGGTACGTGCCTGTAGTCCCAGCTACTCGGGAGGCTGAGGCAGGAGAATTATTTGAACAGGTGGAGGCTACAGTGAGCTGACAGCATACCACTGCACTCCAGCCTGGGTGACAAAGTGAGACCCTGTTTCAAAAAGAAAAAGAAAAAGAAAAGAAAAAAGAAAAAAAAAGAGAAATATCTGACATTGAATTATTTTTCTCTATTTTATTTATTTATTTATTTTTTTGATGGAGTCTCGCTCTGTCACCTAGGCTGGAGGGCAGTGGCGTGTTCTCAGCTCACTGCAGCTTTCACCTCCAGGGTTCAAGCGATTCTCCCACCTCAGCCTCCCGAGTAGCTGGGATTACAGGTACCCACCACCACGCCCAGCTAATTTTTGTACTTTTTTAGTAGAGATGGGGGGGGTTTCACCATGTTGGCCAGGCTGGTCTTGAACTCCTGACCTCTGGTGATCTGCCCACCTCGGGCTCCCAAAGTGCCAGGATTACAGGCGTGAGCCACCATGCCCAGCCCTGACGCTGAATTATTTTTCTAAAGTACCTGGAAACTTATCACTGAAAACAAAAACAAAAACAAAAACTGATGACATTGAAATCATTGCAGTGTAATCATTCGTGGTTTCTACTCCCAATGTTATTGTGGAGAAATCCTGGAAGAAAAGAACTCTTTGGCTAGTTATGTTAGGTAATAGGATTTATTATGTACACCAAAGATGTAAGGGTCATTTCTATAGTTCTCATTAGACTTTGGAGTTGTAATAGTTATACAGGAAAAGGGGTAAGAAGAAAGAGGAGATGAAAACAGCTTTGCAAAAATTAAGGGTGAATTTTCCTCCCCTATTTTCTTTTTTCCTGACAGTATAAATAATGTCTGATTAAGAGGAAAAGTTAAGAAAGCATATACATTCCTACAGAATTGGGCTGAGAATGAGGTTAAATTGTATGTACACAATAAAGAAAGCTATAGGGCTTTTTGAGGAAAAAATGACTATATTTTGGCAAGAAAATTATTACAAGTTCTTTCCAATTGAGGGAAGAAGACTATGCTATCCATTTAATTCAAAGAATAACCAGGAATGAGACGGGACCTCGTTACTATGGGAGACCATTTGGTAAGTGGAAGGACACTTCTTTCTGTGTAGGCAATTTGAGGGTGAGCCTTCCACAATCCATATAACACCTTCTGGTTAAATCATTGTTATACTCTCTGCTGAAAGATATTCCACTGAACTCCACTCTCTTTCTAAGTGCTTCCAATAAATTACCACGGACATGAAAGTCACCTTTGACATTTACTGGAAAATTTGATTTTTTTTTTCTGTAACATTATAAGCCTCTTTCCCCCACGCACAAAAAAATGTTTTATTGCATCTTCATTGCAAATCTAATTTGTAATTCATCCCTTGCTTACTCATTTAAGTCAGAGATGTGTGCTGAAGAATATCAGTCAACCAGCCTGGAAACATTTTTCTAATAGTAAATGTAGAATGTAAAGGAAATTACATTATTTTGTGTTCTGTAAAATGTATAATTTAAAAAAAAACTTCACTTATGTTATTTAACATTTTAACTAAAAAATTCAAATTATGTCATAATCATTCAGCAATACAAATGTTGGTCACCCACAAGAGAAATCTAGTTGTAATTACATTATAATAATTCAATAATGTAAATTTTTATTATCCCAAAGAAAAATTCGAGGAAAAAAATTGGCCAAAATGTTGCAAGTAGTAGATTTATGGAAATATTCAGCATATGGTGTGAGTAGATGCATGATAAACACAGACATGAAAAAAATTAAATTGCTCTTGCTGGAGAATTTGAACCTAAGAAAATGCTACTCTAGGCATCCATGGTTTTACCACTTGCTAACAAAAGCTTCTTATGGCTTGTAACAGTAAGGACTCATTACAGAGAAGAGATGCATGCTCTTGAAGAACTCCCCACTACCACATTCTCACAAGTTATTGGAAAAAAACTTCAGAGTTTGGGAACAGTAATAGCTGTATTTTAAGAATTGTGTTATTTGCCTCCATAAATGAATGCCTGTCTACCTCATTGGCCTGAAAATTGTACCACATTTGTAAGATGAATCATTTGGCTTTCTAGTTGGTCCTGGGGGACAGGAACGCAGCCCACAGATTTACCAGTAGCTCACTGCCTGGTAAATGTTTACTTATAAATTAGTGTGGGTGATAATTTATTCAGGTAATAAGCATAGATTACATTTAATGGCTTAGACATTATACATTATGAACACAGTATTTTATGTTGAAGTAAATGTATATGATAATATGATATCTAAATGTAACTCAGAAATTGTGAATTAGAGAGTTCAAGCAAAGTTAAGCGTGTATTACAGTGCATCCGCACTTAAAGGCTTCAGGAAAGTTTCACAATGGCAAAGCAGTATCATACAGTTCACCCATACCATGTGTTAGGGATCTGTTTATTTTTTAGATTCTCTTCTCCTTTCCCCACAAACCAACTCATTCTGTTACTGAAGAACATTGCTTCTTTCTTGACAAGCAACACAACATCAAAATTTAGGCTTCTGGAGCTGAGGTGAGTAATCTGTCAGCAGGGACACCATGACAGCCTGATGACACAACAAAGAAAGAAAGAAATGGATAAACATTAGCGACAGTCTGCTTAGGGACCTAGAGAAGGTGAATTAGGTTTCAGCTTTGCAGGGCTACAGTTAAAATGCGTTTTCTCAAGAAAATGGTAAGAGAACAATTCTGAACTAATATTTATTTATTTATTGGAGGAGGGGATAAATGAAGGTCAACAGAGATCAGACTGACCCAAATAGATACACAAACACTGCATAATTAGGACTCACTCCAGGACTAGTGGGTCACAGAGTTGAAATGAGATGCTGCAGTGGTAGCTGTGATTGAATTTTTCAGTCATAAGTAAACCTAGTTATTGGCTAGTTTTAGAGAAATATAATCCCTCCTATCCCAGATCCTTATGTTTATACTATGGTTTGATCACTCACAACCTAAAGAAGTTTAGGATGAATCAGATGTAGAGTGATCTGAGCAATGTCTGCTGCCTGAAGCTGGGTATTCCTGAAAGAGTATTATCTCTATAGCCAAGAGTATACAGCTTCCCCTTGGTCTGTCAACCACAAATGGTAATTTTCACTTTTACTCTTCTCAACCTCCACAAGAATGACAATAATAATATCAGAAACAATGGTGAATGTTAGCTGAGTGCCTACTAGGTATTAGATAGAATACTAAGTACCATTTCATGTATTAGCCAAGAAATATTTTTCAAGCACTGTGCCAGGAGCTTTGGTGAGCTAGAGGGAAATGCTCACTCATTACCTCGTTTAATACAACAAAATTCTAAGGTAGTTTTTATCATTATAATTTATAGTTGAGGAAATCAATCCTTGAGATGACAGATAGTGCAGAACTGGGTTGGAACCCAGGTTTTCTCTGACTCTATTCTTTTTAAAAATTATTATTTTTTGATTGATAAATTATAATTGTATATATTTATGGAGTACATTGTGATGTTTTGATATATGTATACAATGTGCAATGATTAAATCAAGCTAATGAACATATCCATCACCTTACTTACCTATCTTTTTTATGGAGAGACATTTGACATTTCTTCTCTAAGTTATTTTGAAATATATATTATTATTGACTATAATAATCATTCTGCTGTGTAATAGATCTCAAAATCTATTCTCTCTGTCTACTTGAAACTTTGTACCCTTTGATCAACAACTCCCCATTGCCTTCCTTCCCATCCCCTAGCCTCTGGTAATCATCATTCTACTCTCTACTTCTATGAGTTCAACTTTTTTAGAGTCCACATATAAGTGAGATCATGTAGTATTTGTCTTTCTGTGCCTGGGTTATTTTACTTAGCATAATGTCCACCAAAAAACTGTTAGAACTGATAAGGGAATTCAGTAAAATTACAGAAAATGAAATCAACATACAGAAATCAGTAGCATTTCTAATGTACTAATAATCAACTATCTGAAAAGAAAATTAAGAAAATAATCACATTTGTAATAGCAACAAAAAATTACTTATGTATAAATTTTATCAAGAAGTTAAAAGACCTGTTTACTGAAAACTATAAAACACTGATGAAAGAAAATAAAGAAGACACAAATAAATGGAATGATATCCCATGTTCATGGATTGAAAGAATTAATGTTGTAAAAATGTCCACACTACCCAAAGTGATCTACAGATTCAATGCAACCCCTATCAAAATTTCAATGTCATTTTTCACATAAATCAAAAATACAATCCTTAAGTTTGTAGGGAACCACAAAGACCCCACATAGACAAAGTGATCTTGAACAAAAGGAAGAAAGCTGGCAGCATCACACTCCTCGATTTTAAAACATATTATAAAGATATTTTAATAAAAACAACGTGGTACTATCATAAAAACAGACACATTAACCAACAAAACAGTAAGGAAAGCCTAGAAATGAACCCATGCATTTATGGTCAATTGCTTTTTGACAGAGGTGCCAAGAGCACATAATGGGGAAAGGACAGTCTCCTCAGCAAATGGTATTTAGAAAACTAGATATCCACATGCAGAAAAATAAAATTGGACTCTTGTCTCACACCATATTTAAAAATCAACTCAAAATGGATTAAAGACTTAAATATAAGCTCTGAAGCTGTAACACTACTAAAAGAAAACATAGGGGAAAAAGTTCTGTCTTAGTCTGTTTTCACGCTACTGATAAAGACATACACAAGACTAGGAAATTTATAAAGAAAAAGAGATTTAATGGACTCACAGTTCCAATGGCTGGGGAGGCCTCACAATCATTGCAAAAGGCAAAAGGCATATCTCACATGGTGGCAGGCAAGAGAGAGAATGAGAGCCAAGCAACAGGGCTTTTCCCTTATAAAACCATCAGATCTCATGAGACTTATCCAGTACCGCGAGAACAGTATGGGGGAAACTGCCCCTATGATTCAATTATATCCCACCAATCCCTTCCACAACACGTGGGAATTATGGGAGCTACAATTCAATATGAGATTTGGGTGGGGACACAGCCAAACCATATCAAGCTCCATGACATCAGTGGTAATTGTTCAGTATGACCCTGAAAACACAAGCAACAGAAACAGACATAGACAAATCAAATTGCATCAAACTAAAAAGCTATTGCACAGCAAAAGAAACAATAAACAAAGTGAAGAGACAATCCACAGAATGGGAGAAAATATTTGCAAACCATACATCTGTTAAGGGATTCATATCCAAAATATATAAGGAACTCAAACAACTAAAGAGAAAGAAAACAAAATAACCTGATTTAAAAATGGGCAAAGGACCTGAACAGACATTTTTCCAAAGAAGATATACAAATCATCAAGTTCATGAAAAAATGCTGAGTATCACTAATCGTTAGGGAAATGCAAATTAAACCACAATGAGATATCACCACATACTTATTAGAGTGGCTTTTATTTTTACAAAAATTAAAGATAAGTGTTGACAAGAATGCAGAGAGGGAGGATCTCTTGTGCATTGTTGGTGGGAATCTAAATTAGTATAGCCTTCATAAAAAATGGTATAGAGGTTCCTCAAAAACTAAAACTAGAACTCCCATATGATCCAGCAGTTCTATTTCCTAGTATATATCCAAAGGAACTGAAACCAATCTGATGCAGGGATATCTGCACTTCCATGTTCACTGCAGCATTATTTACAATAGCTAAGATATGGAATCAACCTAAGTGTCCATCAATAGATGAATGGATAGAGAAAATGTGGTGTATATATCCAATGGAATAGTATTCAGCCTTAAAAAAGGAAATCCTGTCGTTTGTGACAACATGGGTGAATCTGGATGACTCTACTCTTAAAAGGTAGTTTTGTGGTCTCTCAGGTACTTTTTCTTACACTTCAGCCATACTGTACACGTGTTCCTAGCCTGTATCAAAAGTGCAGGTCTTGTATTTCAAAGGTGTTAACTGAATATACTTATCAAAGTTATCACATGCCAGGCCCTGTGCTGAGTGCTGTATTTGCATCATAACATGTAATATCCTTTCCTACTGTATGAAATGGTAAGAGATGTAAAATACAGATCGAGAAACTCAGATGTAGGAATTTTCCTGAGTGGTGGTGGTGAGAGGTGGATCCGCACCTACCTGTCCCTGGGTCCTGACTACAATGCTCACATGACTCTGATCTCATTGAATCCTCATAACCTTAAGAGGTTGGTTCTATTTTTTTATCCTCATTTTTCATATGAATAAACTGGTCTTAGTGAAGTTAAGGTATTTGCCTAAGTTGATTAGGAGCCCAAGATCACAGAGAGAGCCAGAATTTTAACCTGATTTCCAAAACTTATGTTCTAAAACCAATTCCCTATATTGCCTTTAAGCTGCAAAAATGTATGAGTCCATATTTAAAGTATGTGTCAGGCACACTTCTAGGTATAATAAAGAATGTTACAGACAGGATTACTGCTTTCATAAAGAAGTTTTCATTATAGTGGGGGGACAGGCAACAAACAGACAAAAAAATACAAAAATACCAAGTAGTGCCATTAGAAAATAAAATGTAAAAAGGAGATAAAGGAGCCTTGGGAACCACTTAAGAGTGAGTGGCATGGGAAGATCTTGCTCAACAGTAACATTTAAGGTGATGTCTGAATGACAAGAAGGAACTGGTTTACCCAGGGCACACTTTGGCATAAGAATGTCTACCAGGTAAAAGACACTGTAAACTTTTTAATGGGTTCCTGGGAGCCCCTCTCATTTTTGCTTTGTTTTTAATTGTCTATGGATTGTATCAACTTTATTTCCAAATAAAAACTTACAAATTCAACTTGGATTAGGATTGTCAGATTCAGTTAAATAAACGCAGACAGACAAGCAGTTAAACAAGAATTTCAGATAACAACAAATACATTTTTTACTGTATGTTCTAAATAGTACATGAGACATACTTAGACTAAAAATTATTCATTGTTTATCTAAAATTCAAATTTAACTGGGTGTCCTGTATTTTATCTGGCAACTCTAACTTGGGGAGAAGTAAATGACTATAAAATACTGTGAGTTACATTTGCAATGGTGTTTTGGACTTAAGAGTCTTATGTGGATAACAGTGCTTTGAAGTGTCAGCTTTTTTTCTTTTTTTCAAGGTCCCTTTAGGTTATTTTAGCTCCAGTGTAAAATTTATAGGCAGAGGAAAAATATCTGTCCACATTTTGTGAGTCCTACTGCCTTATTAATCACTGAAAAATACAAAAGCAAGCTTCATGGGGAGGAAATGGGTGATTTTTGTTTTTAAACAAAGGGATCCAAAGACCTGTGCACTATGAAGAGAATGATGCAATTAGTGAAGCGTTCTGAACAGCACTACTGGAAGTCTCTTAGCATGGAGGCCTTAAAAAGCTACTCCGAGCGCTGAAAGAGGACACTTGTGCTTTAAAAAATGCTACACCATTAAAGAAAAAGCCCTTCCTCCTATTTTAGTTATATACCTTAAACATCAGTCATTACAGGCATCTCAGAACTAGAGGGTCACGTTGCGGCTTTCCTTTCTTATTTCATCCTGATTTTAAATCAAGTTGTATGTGTGAAAATTATTCCCTGGAGTAGTGCTGTCCAATAGAGCTCTCGGCAGTGATGGAAGTGTTCGATGTCTGTGCTGTCCAATACCAATAGTGTAGCCACCAGCCACATGTGGCTATTGAGCATTCAACAACTTGGTTGGTATAACTGAGGAACTGAGGAACTGAATCTTCTTTTTTTTTCTTTGTGTTGAGATGGAGTCTTGCTCTGTTGCCCAGGCTGGAGTGCCGTGGCACAATCTTGGCTCACTGCAACCTCTGCCTCCCAGGTTCAA